GGGTGTAGGCAGCAAGGGTGGCCGTTATGACAATATTGAGCTGCACAGGCTAGGCTAGCTGAGCACATACAAGAGAGACTGGGTGTCTCAGACGCCTCAGGTGGCACCTGGAACTGAGACGGGGACCGGATGTCCCAGGGAGAAGAGAGCTGGGCAGAGGAGGAACACAGCCTCATGACGAATCTGGAGGTGGAGTGGGACCAGGCAGGGTCTGGGTCTAGGAGAGCCAGACACTTGGAAACCAAGAGGTTTTGAAAAACCATCCCCAAAGCCAGGAACCTGTAATCCTAGCTGATCAGGAGGCTGAGATCCGAAGACTAAGGCTTCAAGCCAGCCCAGGCAGGAAAGTTGGGGAGATTCTTATCTCTAATTAACCACCAAAAAGCTGGATGTGGAGCTATGGTTCAAATGGTAGAGTGCCAGCCTTAAATAGTACACGTTAGGGACAGTACCCAGGTTCTGAGTTCGAGCCCCAGTACTGGCACACACACAAAAGGAGGGCCTCTTCCCAGATTCTCCCTGCCCCCTGTATGGTGGGTTTGCCTACTTCTGGGTTCTGAGCTTGTGACCATTCATGAGTCACTGTCCTGTTGTCCATGAGGAAGGGAAAGTGGAGATCTTCATTGCTGATTTTTTGGGGGGTGAGGCGGGGGCTGGACAACTGGCTCCTGTAGCAATAAGAACAGAGCCATCCAAATGCATAGCATGCAAACAGGTTGTGTGTACTTAGCTTGGTGCCAGCCATAAAGGAAGTGTCTTGTTAATAGCAGGATCATTATTATGATAAGTGAATTTTTTAATGTTGTTGTTGGTCATGGGGCTTGAACTCTGGGCCTGGGTGCCAATCCTGAGCTTTTTTGCTCAAGTCTAGAGCTCTTGGAGCCATGGTGCCACTTCTGGTTTCCTGGTGGTTCATTGAGGATAAGAGTCCCATGGACAGGGGCTGGGAAGGTGGCTCAGTGGTAGAGTGCTTGCCTTGCATGCCTGAGGCCCTGGGTTCGATTCCTCAGCACCACATAAGCAAAAAGAAAAAAGCCGGAAGTGGCGCTGTGTCTCAAGTGGTAGAGCACTAGCCTTGAGGTGAAGAGCTGAGGGACAGCACCCAGGCCCAGAGTTCAGGCCCCACGACCGGACCCTGCCCCCCCCAAAAAAATAGAGTCCCATGGACTTTCCTGCCTGGGCTTGCTTTGAGCCATGATCCTCAGATCTCAGCCTCCTGAGTAGCTAGGATGACAGGCATGAGCCACTGGCACCCAGCTATGTTAATTATTATTAATTACCAATAAGAAGAAACTCATATGAGCCTATCGTGGGCAGAGGTTCTTAGAAAGTTCCAGAAGGTGCTGGAAGGTTCTTTTGGTATGGCTCCCATTCAGTAAAGGGAATCACAGAAATGGGGAAGATGGCCCAGTGCTGGATGGCTGCCATGATGGGGGGAGGGAAGTCTGAGGGTCCCAGGGTCAGGGCCACCAGAGGATATCCCCCTGGAGGGCCATCCACCCCTCTTGTCACCATGCTGGAAAGGAACTCAGGGCCCCTCAAATGCCAAGAGGTCCACAGGAGTTACATCCCCAGGACCCCTCCTCTGTAGGGAGGCAGTCTCCCCAAGCTGGCTTGCCATCTTCCCCAGAGGAGGGCGGGAGAGGGCCCACTACCACACAGGCGGCCTTCATCTGAGAGTCTAGTTTGGTTTAGGTGATTGAAAAACCACTGGCCTAGTCCTGTGCTCAGTCTGCACGGGGAGACTGAGGCTAGGCAAGAGGAGTGTTCCCAGCCCTGGCGTCAGCCAGGAGCTGTCTGAGCTGCTGAGCTCAGCTTGGATCCAGCCTGTCCCTGCTCCTGGGCACTTGTCACAGAGTCGGAGCCCCCTGGGGAGCTGGCTGGGCCCTGCTGGGTGGTCTGACACCCCCACCCCCACCCAGGCTGGTGAGCCAGGGATGCGGCAGGCTGTGCAGGCAGAAGGCGGGGCCTCTCCAGAAACTGGAAACAAGGAACCTCCCTTGGTGGCAGGTGAGGTCTCTGACTTGGTGTGACTCAAGTCACTCACCCATGGGGCGAGCAGGTTTTATGGAAGGAGTGTCACTCGCTCATCTCTGTCTAATCCAATATTATTGATCTTTCATTATATGTTAAGCACGGTGCCAAAGGCTTGTAGGTGTGAACTCATGGCATTGTTCCACATATTGGGGAACAGGCACTACAGGCAAGTCTACGGAGCAGGAGAGAGGGGGGGAAAGGGAGGGGAGAAGGAGGGGGAGGGGGAGAAGGGGAGGGAGAAGGAGAGGGAGAGGGAGAGGGAGAGGGAAGGGAGAGAGAGATATGAGCGGTTGAGGGCTGGGCCAGAAGCTACACCCAAGGTGAACTTGATGGTTTCTACTTTCAAGTTTTTGTCCTTGGTGGTGGTACTAGGGTTTGAGCTCAGGGCCTTTGCACTTGGTAGAGAGGTATTCTACCACTGGGCAATGTCCCCACAGACAGCACGTGTTTTCTTTTGAATCATGATATAGTTTCGAATTTTAAAAAAAGTTAAAGAAAAAAATTAGTTATTTTGTGTGTATGTGTATGTGTGTGTGTGTGTGTTTGAATTCAGGTTCTTGCACTCTTGCTTGGCTTTTTCATTCAAGGCTTGTGCTCTACCACTTGAGCCACAGCTCCACTTCTGGCTTTTTGTGGGTTAATTGGAGATAAGAGTTTCATGGGCTTTCCTGCCTAGGCTGACTTTGAACCATGATCCTCAGATCTCAGCCTGTTTAGTAGCTACAATTACCCTAATCAGTGAGTTAAAATCTATTATCACCAGTTATATGGATGCTAAAACTGTCCTGAATTTGGCCAATGGGAGTTCCTTCAATCTAGAGAGCCCCCTACCGTGTATGTGTGAGTGTGTGTGTGTGTGTGTGTGTGTGTGTGTGTGTGTGTGTGTATTGGTTGTGGGGTCTTGAACTCTGGGCCTGGATGCTGTCCCTGAACTCTTCAGCTCAAGGTGAGCACTCTACCACTTGAGCCACAGCACCACTTCCTGTTTTCTGGTGGTGAACTGGAAATAAGAGTCTCATGGACTTTCCTGACTGAGGAACCATGTTCCTCAGATCCTCCTGAGTAGCTAGGATTACAGGCATGAGCCACCAGCACCCAGTTTGACCTCAGCTCTTGAGAAGCCTAGAAATAAGGCTGGAGAAGGCAGATAACTCAACTGAAGTTTCTAGAATGGAGAATTTTGGAGAACTTTAATACACCAAGAGGTGCCTTGCATGGCTCTCTTAGCTGTGCAAGCTGATGGCAGAATGCAATTGGTTTCAGTGCTTTCTCTTGCACTCTAAGACTTTTCTCTAATTGGATCAACATCTGGTTACCTGCAACACAAGTGAGCCATCACATACAACATCCAAGGCCTTAGTGGCTTGTTCCTGTCATCCTCGCTACATAGGAGTTCTGAGGACTGGAGGGCTTGTTTGAAACCAACTTGGGCAGCAAAGTCCACAAAGCTCCAACTCCAAATAACCAGCAAAAAGCAAGGCTGGTGGTATGGTTTATGTGGTAGAGCACCAGTCAAGCAAGTAAGAAAAGCAAGAAAGAGGCCCTGAGTTCAAAGCCTAGCCTGGCAAAATTAAAAAAGCAAAAATCCACTATCATGGGGATAGATGTATCAATACCAGATGGACCAAAGCCCAGAAGCCCGAAAGCCTACCTTGAGCACTGACATGAAATTAACCTTCACAAGGGAGGAAGCCTTTCCATCCTGCACATGCGCAGTAGAGAAAGAACTGCAGAAGCAATTGTGCTTGGGTGATGATGCTTCAGGCAGCAAGATCAGCCACAGCAAAGACAAAAGAATGAACTGCAGCCCTCCCCATCTTGCCTTCAAAGCCGCTTTTCTAGGGTGAGAGCCCCCAGACACTGGGTCCAGCCTTCCCATTGTGCTGCCATGTTCCCCTGGTTAGAATGCCCTCCCAAACCTCTGGATCAGAACCAGAACCTGAGTCGAACACAACACAAGGTCCCACAGTCACAAAGCAAGTAGTAAGCAAATGCACAAACTGTATAGACATACAAGGGTGACAAGACTAAATGTCAGGGATCAAGACTCCGTTAGCCAGGAAGGTCAGGAAAGGCCTGCCATCAGCAGTGACATCTGAGCTGACCTGAAAGATAAGACAGGCCAGGAGATCCGGGCAAAAGTGGCTCATGCTTAGCTACTCAAGAGATTGAGACCTTAGCCGGGCGCTGGTGGCTCACGCCTGTCATCCCAGCTACTCAGGAGGCTGAGATCTGAGGATCCAGGTTCGAAGCCAGCCCGGGCAGGAAAGTCCGTGAGACCTGAAAACCGGAAGCGGCGCTGTGGCTCAAGCGGTAGAGTGCTCGCCTTGAGCTGCAGAGCAGAGGGACAGCGCCCAGACCCAGAGTTCAAGCCCCACGACCGACCACAAACAAAGACAAAACAAAACCCGAAGCCTTAGCCGCTGGAGTGGAGCTGGAGGCGGGCCTGGAGGGGCTCGGTGGTCCTTCCCCGAGGCAGGCTTGGAGCCGCGGAGGTGGTGTGGGGACGGGGTAGGCGGCAGAGCCCAGCCCCCGTCGGACCCTCACGGGGGGCGCAGCCCTGCCGCAGAGATATGAATCCGGGGCTCACTGGCACGAAATGCCACTTAAAATCACGGGACCGGAGGAGGGCACCCGGACGGAGGGTGGAGGTCGAGAGGAGAGGCCCGGGACCGTCGACAACACCCACGCGGCGCCCGCGCGCCGTCACGTGAGCGCGCGCAGCGACCGCGGGGGACCGGCGCCGAGAACCCCGCGGGTGGCGGAGAAGGCTGTGGTCCCGGAGGCGGGGCCTGTGTGGGCGGGGCCTGGGCGGAGGCGGGGCCTGTCTGGGGGCGGGACTCATGCACCGAGCGGCCGTTTGGGGGCCCGGGGAGGGGGGGGCCGGTGGCCGGGGCGGTGACGTCACCGCATGACTGGGTTTTTATGAATGAAAGGAATCCTTGAGTGAGTAATTCCGGGAAGCTCGCCTTACAACTCGCGCGGGGCCGCCCGCCCCACAGCAAAACTCGGCTCGGCGCTCCCCGAACCCCGCGGTTCGCACCGGAGGAGAGACCGAGCGGAGCTGCGGGCGGGGACGGCCGCGGGGACGGGCGCGGGAGCGCGCGTGCTGGGGCGCCGGGCCTAGCGGGCCGAGAGCGGTGAGGAGCGCGGGCGGGGACGGGCACGGGCGACCCTCCCCGGGAGGCAGGGTTTCCGCGCCCCGGGTCCGCGCCGGCTCTGTCGGCGATCCGGACCGCCGGCGAGTTGGGGCGGGGTGGGGCGCGGGGAGAGCCGATCTGGGGGGAACCTGACGGGGCGCGGTGGGGGGGGGGGAGGCGGGCTTTCCCGGGGCTCGGGGCCGGCGGAGCGGGGGCCCGGAGTGGGGGAGCAGCGGGCTGGCGGCGTCCGCGTCCGACCGGCGGGGGCGAGGGCGGGGTGCGCACGTACGTGACTCGGTGAGAACAGTCCCTGGACCGGCGCCCGCGGGCCGTGCGTGCGCGGTTTGTTTACGTCCGCGGGCGGCGTGCGTGCGTGCGTGGGTCCCCTGGCGGGCGTCGCGGGCGGGGGGGGGGGGGGGTCCTGCCGGGGCGTGCGTGCGAGCGTCCCCGCGCTCCCCGGAGGCCGCCCCCCGCGTGCCCGTGTGTCCACGGGGCCCCGAGTCCCGGAGGCTGCACCCCGCGGTCACTGGGCCTGGGCACCCTCGCCGCCGCCAGCGGGGACCGTCACCAGCCGGACCGCCCGGCTCTGGCTCTGTCTGGAGTTTCCCAGGGCTGTAGCCGAGTGACCCCAGGGCTCGTCCCGCCCAGAGCCAGCAGAGTAGAGGTATTAAACAAAAAATCATCCCCAGCTTGGCTGGGGGTGAGGTGAGGAGCCGCCCCTTCACCAGGTCTCGGTCACCCGGGGTTTCTCACTCCTGGGGAGAAGAGTTCCTGGGGGGCGGGGGGCAGTTCTTCCCAGAGCTGACCATGCCCTTCATCTCAGGAGAAAAAGGAAGAGCCAGGAAATCCCCCACCCCCACCACTGCCTCAAGAGGAAGGATCCCAGCTCCTCTCTGCGGGCGGGCGCACCGGCGCACCTGCTGGGTGGTGGAGAATAGGTGGGGCTGGTTGCCACCCTCCTGGGAGTTTCAGTTCACAGGTGGGACTAGTTAGACTGGACCTATCCCAGGACTGTGGGACTCGGGACCTCGGAGTCTGGTGGAGAACTGGGTCAGCTGGCAGCGGTGGACCAGGCAGGGACAGCAGGCAGTGGGAATCTGTGATCTTCCTATTCTGGGCAGGGCAGGACAGACCTAGTCCCCTGTACCTAGGAGTCGTGTGGAAAGTGCAGGCCTGTGGATGGGCTGTGGAGGAACCCCACTGTCCAGGCTGCTACTTGGTCCTGTCCTGTCCTTCCCAGAGGGCTACCAAGTCACAGGAGGGGGCGACTGATCTGGCTAGAGTGGCGATCCAGTGATCTTAGAACTTTGACCCTTTGAGCCTGTGAGCTCTGCTAGGGCAGTTGGGACCCCCAGTGTCCCTTATCTACAGGAGGAAGTTGGCAGCCTTCTGGGTGGCTGGCAGAATGGCAGGTGGAAAGGGAAATCTGGCAGCCAGTGTACACAGCCTATTTTCCAGAACTGTGGGAAAGCAGGACCTGTGCACGTGTGCATGCGTGCGAGACACACACACACACACACACACACACACACACACACACGGAATTTGAGTAAAGGGGGAGGGGGAGAGGGTTGGGCCACAAGACCATAGGAACCAGGCAGGCCCATCCACAAACCTGGGCAGGAAACATCTCCCAGTGGGGCCAGAGGTCAGGAGATGAGGGGAAATGGCTAGCTGGCTCAGTCACACATGGAAAGTTAGCACTGAAAGGCTTAACCTCCCTTTGGATCCCTCCCAGGCCACCCATGTGGTCCCCTCAGAGGCTTGGGGTTTTTGTTTTGTTTTTTTTGGTCAGTTGTGGGGCTTGAACTCTGGGCATGGGTGCTGTCCCTTAGTTCTTCAGCTCAAGGCTAGCGCTCTACCACTTAGCCACAGCACCACTTCCGGTTTTCTGATGGTTTATTGGAGATAAGAGTCTCACAGAGTTTCTTGCCCAGGCTGATTTTGAACTGCGATCCTCAGATCTCAGCCTCTTGAGTGCTAGGATTATAGGCGTGAGCCACTGGTGCCCAGCCAGAGGCTTGTTTTTAACTTTTTAGTTTTTAAGATTTGAACTCAGAGCCTTGTGCTTGCTAAGGAGGTACTCTGCCATTTGAACCACAGGCCTCTTGAATGATGCTTTCGGCCTTTCATTGCACTTAGGCCTCTGTGGCAGGCCAGGTGCTGGGGATACGATGGATAACCAGATAACCAGATCCAGAGCCGGACCTCTGGGAGGTGGGAGGAGCCACAGGGATACATGCAAAGCCCCAGCTGAAAGGAGAGCAGGCATGAAGGGGAAGTCAGTTTGGCTTAAAAGTACATGGCAGGGCTCTGGCTTAGCCAGAGCAATCATGGAAGGCTTCCCTAGGGAGGCATCCAGTGAGAAGTCTGGTGGCTTGGTGACTGTCCATGAAGCCCTTGAGGACAGAGATGTGATTCCTTGTTGGGCCTCTTTGGGCCCAGCACAGAGACTGACATACAGTAGGTCTTGGATGTTTGATGACTGAAGAAGTGAGCACAGGCTCGGTAGCACTGAAGATCTTCATGACATGTGGAGAAGGAGCTGGAAACAGGGAGGTGGGAAGCCTGGGCACAGGCTGTAGGATTCTTGCAGGAATTCCCCAGAGTGAGCTAGTCCTGCAGGGCCCCCCCCACACCTACTTTTTGGGTAGCAGTAATCAGGAAATCCACTGTCTGCTTGCTCATTTGTTGTTGGTGGGAGGAGGGAGGCAGGGAGACCAAACAGTAGAGGCCCAGGATTCCTCTGGGAGCTGGTGAGGAGGCTGGCAGCACAGGGTCTTTGAAGCAAGCCAAACATGGTCAGGTTTGTGTGTTGGGGTTTTGGAGGTGGAGGCAGACAAGACTAGAGGCCAGTGAGGAGGCCACCGTGGTCCTTGTGCAGCTGAAAGAGGAAGTGGTCTCTGGCTTTGCGAGTGGAGAAGCAGGATGGTCAGGCTGATAGTAGGGGTGTTTGTGTTCCCATGCCCTGCCTCCAGGAAGCCTTCCTGATTTCCTTCCCCTTCACCCAGGGCCTGTGCTCTGCTGGTGGTTTTAGAGCTCCATGTGCCAGAATCTGACCCTTTTAACTCACAGCTGTTATTGCTGGGTGGTATCTTAGGCTCAGGGAGGCTTGGCATGCCGGGAATGATGTACCTGCAGTCACAGTGAGTGTATGGGTAGCAGAACCAGGCCTAGAACCCCAGGCCTTGAGTCTCTGCGCTGCTCTGTTCTTCCAGCCTTGTTTCCTTCCAGCAGGCAGGGAGGAGGCGTCCCAGCCGGCACTAGCTGCCAAAATCTAGGCAAACACATTTTTTCCCTCTGTCCTCACCAAGCAAGAGTGAGTGGCTTGGCCCAGCAGCCAGAGAGGAACCCAGGCCAGCAGGAAGGGCTGGGGAGGGGAAGGGGGGGCCAGTGTCTGCAGGACATCTTCGGCCTGGACTTGAGGGGCCAGAGAGGGGGATACAGGAGGGACAGGACCATGACTGGGCAGCTCTGCCCCCCACCCTCCCCAGGAGTAAGCACACCCCTAGGCTTTGAAAACTTATTAGAAAGCTTGGGCCTAGAGGTCAGCTATGCTGGCTCAGGAGGGAAGGAGCTGGGAAGGGGGGGGGGGGTCTCAGGATTCAGCCGAAGAGGCCTCTTGGCTGGCTTCCAGGAGCCCTGGCTGGAGGCCCAAAACCCAAGGTGAGGGGACGTCCCCTCTGGTGCCAGTCCCTCTGGCACTGGCTGGAAGCTGAGCAGGGACATTCCTGGGCAGAGGGGCCTCGCTGGCTTCCAGGACGCTGCTGCGAGGGGGAAGGGGGAAAGTCTAGGTTTCACAGGGGAGCATACAGGACAGAAGGAAGAGTAACCCACCAGTCCCACCTCTCAGGCCTCTGGCTGTGTTGAGGATTGAGCCAGTGTCCAGGCTCCATGGATAGAAACCAGAGTTATGTTGAGAAAGATGGGAGAGACTGTCTCTTAGACTGAGGGGCTGTGTCTCACCAGGAGTAAGTGCTGTGGTTGATTAGTGATGTCTGTGCCCGGTAGAGTGGGAGATGTGCTGGGAGTCAGAGCACAGGTAATCCCCGACCCAGTCCAAGCTGACTGGGTTTTGGATATGAATGCTATTATGGTCACCACACTTCTGGGGGCCACTACTGGGGATTGGACTCAAGGCCCACGTTTGCTAGGCAGGTCTCTACCATGCGAGCCCCTTTTTTTATGTTGCTTCTTTTCAAGGTAGAATCTCTATCCCAGGGCTGGCCTGGGCTGCCATCTTACTTGTGTTTCCAGTGTTGCTAAGGATGACAGGCCTGTGCTGCTGTGCCCAGCCCTTGTTCCCCCATAGCTGGGGATGGAGTCTTGTGTGTGTGTGTATGTGTTCTGGGGCTTGAACTCAGGGCCCAATGGCTGCCCTGAGCATTTTTCTACTCAAGTCTTAGCATTCTATTGAGCCACAGCCCCACCTCTGGCTTTTTGCAGGTCAGTCTTACGGACTTTCCTGCCTGGGCTGGCTTTGAGCCATGATCCTCAGATCTCAGCTTCCTGAGCCACCAGCACCCGGGCTGCCACCTTTTCACCCAGGCTGGCCTTGAACCACAATCGCTCATCTCCATTTCCAACTAGCTAGGATTATAGGCTTGAACCCCACTTTACAAGTAAGACCAGGACCCGGACAGGACAGCTGACTTGAGAGGGACCAGGGTGCTGCATCAGGCACAGCACCTAGTACTCAGAATCCAGCACCCAGCAGGCTATCAGTGGACCTGCGCCGAGAGAGGCACGGGGTGAGGAAACAGTCCAGAGCAAGGGTGCTGCCAGGGCCACACTGGAATGCAGCATGTCGTTCTGTGTGGCCTCAGTCCTGGGCTTTGCTCCTGTTGGCTGTGTGACCTTTGCCCTCTGTCTAGACTTCTCTGGATATATGTGTCATCAGGGAGACCCGGAGGATGACAGTGTGGAGGGATCAAGACGCAGCCCTGCACCTTTATAGGTATTAACAATTTCTCCCTATTGGCAGAGCAGCAGCGACTCAGCTGCTGTGTGACTTCAGGCAAGAGGTGCCCCTCTCTGGTGCCCTCTTGATAGTGTAAGGAGGTATGGCCAGATGGCCTCTGGGGCCTTCCTTGCAGTGACTGCCAGCTGGAGATGCGGAGTTGGAGAAAGACCAGTGCTGGCAGAGGGCCTGACACCTCCTGGACAGACACTGCAGGTGTAATAACCTCCGGATGATCACCGACCTCTAGCTTATACCACATAAAACTGCTAGTGGCAGACACTGATCCCATCCTACAGATGGGACAGTGGAGGCCCAGGGGAGCCATGGTCACACAGCCTGGGGAGAACAGAGACAGGACTCAGACTCCAGCTGGTCTCCTAAGCCAGTGCTGCCTCCAGGGACCCAAAGTCACTATTTTCTCTCCACTAGGTTGGCTCTGGAGCTCAGTTGGGGCACTGACCAACTGGGTGACCCTGTCAAGGAATTCACCCCACCCCACCCCCTGCCTGTTCTCTGTTCTCTTGCCCCTGCCCTGTGGCCTCAAGTACCCAGGGCTGACTCAGCTGTCTAGACGGACGGCTGGCAAGGAAACAGACCATTACCTCCCCTGGTGGAGGTCAGGGAGGGCTTCCTGGAGGAGACATCTGTGCCAGGCGAAAGAGGAGCAGGGTGACACGCAAAGTGAGGGAGGAAAGAAGTGTCTGAAGGTAGGAGGTGACCCAGAGGAAAGAAAGGCAGGGAGGGGCAGCTGGGGGGAAGCGAAAGGCATTCCTTATGGCTGGAATGCAGAAGGTAGTGGAGGGGGGGGGGGTGTTGGGCAACAGGTGGCATCCAAGCCCTGGACACCCAGGCCTACCTGGAGTACAGCCTGGCTGTCTGAACTGTGCTCTCAGGGGAGTAGGGAGCATGGGAGGTAGCTCTCTGGCTGGGGAAAGATCTGGCAGTTGGCGTGTGGAGGAACACCAGGCCCTCCCTGAATGGGTCAGGTGGCTCTCCAAGGTGGTACTGCAGGGTGTGGTTGGTGAGATGCTTACAGGTTGGTGGCCTGTAAGCATCTCCAGGTGGACTCTGGGAAGTCAGGGCAGTCAGGGGGGTCCTGGGTTTGCTGAGAAGGAGGAACAGAATAGGACATAGATCTGCCATGAACAGCTAGGTAGGAAGCTACGGCCTGAGCTCCACAGGCGATGGAGAGACAGGCAGGCAGGGAAACAGCCCGAGGCCCACGCGTTCAGCACTTTGGGCTGCGGTTCAGAGGCCTCTTCTATGAAGTGGACCCCGCAGCCCACCCAGGATCTGCACGTGACAGACAGAGGAGCCAGTCCTCACCTGGGACTCCCGCTGAAGCTTTGCCCAGCTACATAGGAAGCTTGTTGGGTTTTGCTGTTTGTTTTAGTTCTATCTTGCGGCACTAGGGTTGGAACTCAGGACCTGGCACTTGCTAGGTAAATGCTCTGCCCTTGAGCCACGTCCCCCAGGCCCTGTTGTTTCATTTTTAAAAAAAATTTATTGTTATTATAAAGGTGCTGTACAAAGGGGTTACAGAGTACATAAGTCAGGTAAAGTCCATCTTCTTGGGCTGGGAAAGTGGCTTAGTGGTAGAGTGCTCACCTAGCATGTATGAAGCCTAGGTTTGACTCCTTAGTACCACATAAAAAGAAAAAGCCAGAAGTGGTGCTGTGGCTCAAATGGCAAGAATGCTTTGAGCAAAAGAAGCTCAGGGACAGAGCCTAGGCCCTGAGTTAAGCCCCAGGACTGGCAAAAAAAAAAAAGAAGTATATTTTCTTTTTAGACAATGTCACCCCTTCTCTCCCTCTCTCCTAGTTTTTTCTCTCCCATCTCCACCGACAAGTTGTATAATTTGTTTTCAACATAGTGTCTGGTGAGTAGGACTGCTGCTTTTATTCGCCCTTCGTCCCTCCATTGCTGTTGTTGTTGTCAGTTATGGGGCTTGAACTCAGGGTTTGGGCGCTGTCTCTGAGCTCTTCAGCTCAAGGCTAGTGCTCTACCACTTGAGCCACAGTGCCACTTCCAGTTTTCTGGTGGTTAATTGGAGATAAGGGTCTCACAGACTTTCCTGCCCTGGCTGGCTTTGAACCGTAATCCTCATATCTCAGCCTCCTGAGTGGCTAGGATGACAGGTGTGAGCCACCAGCACCTGGCTGTTGTTTAGTTTTTGAGACAGGATCTTGCTATGTAGCCCAAGCAGGCCTTGAACTCACAATTGTCTTGTCTCAGCCTCTTGAGCGCTGAGGTTACAGGCCTGGGCCACCACAAGGTGGCTCGTAAGCCTCTCCCAGCGCCAATGTGTTAGCAGCTGCCTCTGCCAAGGGGAGTCTTTCACACTGACAACTTACGGTCTGTCCCTATCCTTTCATCTGAACTGCCAGCCCTGCTCTATGGGCCAGATGAGGCTGGGAAGTTCCAAGAAGCACCGGACTGTCCCCACGTTTGCCCGAGTCACTCAGAATTCTACTAACACTGGAGTCCCTGCCCTGGTCAGACAGTCTAATCCCGGTAGCAGCAAGCATGGAACATGTATGCGAGCAGTAATGTGGCAGGAGATTCTAGGGAACATGAGAGTAGAAGAGGGACTGGGCGGAGTTCAGCGGCAAACTTTGAGCCAGATGCTTAAAGACTCAAAATAGTCCTTAGGGATCATTTAATTCACATTTCTCTTAAGGAGGCTGCACATCCTCTGGGATGAGTAAGCCATTCATAGTAATGATCTTTCTCTGGGAAGTCTGTTCACATCCTTCACCCTGCTTCCTGTTGAGTCTCACCTACCTGCCAGCACAATGGTATCAGTGGCTCAAGCCTGTAGGCCCATCTAGCTACTTGGGAGGCTGAGATCTGAGGATCATGGTTTGAAGCCAGCCTAAGCAGAAAAGTCTGAGAGACTCTTATCTCCAATTTACCAGCAAAAACCATGAAGTGGAGAAGTGGCTCAAATAGTAAAGTGTTATTGAGTAAAAGAAGTCAAATGAAAGCACAAGGCCTAAGGTCAAGCCCAGTACTAGCATGAGTGCAAGCACACACACACACACACACACATGCAAACTTAGAGACTATCCTGAGAACAAGAATGAGGGGCAGAGAGAGTGACCTGCTCAAAGGCCCTGAGGAGGGGCACAGGCTGAGGTCTCTGAGATGGAGGAGGGCATGGCTGGAAGAACCAGAGGAGTCATGCAGGTGCTGTAGCCAGCACTATGTGGGACCTTGCAGTGGCTGTGAGGACTTGGTTTACTCCGACTTAACAAGAGAGTCATGAAAGGGTCTCAAGATTGGCACAACATGATCTGATGGACAGCCGAAGGCTCTGAGTCATCCTGTGGAAAGGAAGGCATGGCCCTCTCAGAGGCACCAGGTCTGTGTGCTCTCTAGCCCTCCAGATGTTGCTATGAGAGTAAGAACAGTGAAGAGCAGCAGGTGCAGAGCCATGAGGCTGGAATGCCCATTTCAGGAGGCCACTGCGGCTGAGTGCCGGTGGCTCACGCCTGTGATCCTAGCTACTCAGGAGGCTGAGAACTGAGGATCACGGTTTGAAGCCAGCCTGGGCAGGAAAGTCCATGAGACTCTGGGGGGGGGGGCATGGAGAGAAGCTGTGACTCAAGTGATAAAGCGCCAGCCATGAACAGGCCCTGAGTTCAAGCTCCAGTACCAGCACCCTTAAAAAAAAAAAAAAAGGCCACTATGCTGGACCCTTGTGTTAGAAGGAAAGTGCCCTTGAATGTCAAAGTGTGTGGAGCTTGGATTTTACTGTGGATAGAGGGAAAAATAACCGAATGAACCAAAGTGACCCGAGCCCCGTTCTCCCCTCCAGGTCTTCAGACCCGAAGACTGTGCAAACATGTCTGTGGATCCCCTGTCCAGCAAAGCCCTGAAGGTGAGCCGTCTCCGGGGGCCCCAGTGCCTCCCTTCCCCCGCCCCCCACCGGGCCTCCACACCCCAACTTCCTCTTCCCTTCCCGGAATCCCGAGGGTGGTTCAGACCAGGCGGACCCAAGGCAGGTCCCTTCCCTCCCGCCTCCGCCGGCTTCCCCATTCCAAGGTGCTTTCCGAGGCTGGACGAGCCGCGGGGCGCCCTGGGGGTGACCTCTGACCCCGTTGGGCTGCTTTCCCCTTTCTGGACCAAACCCAGCACCGTCGAGGCGACCGAGGGGGCGACCCCCGGGGGACACGGCAGGCGGGGGGGGGGGGGAAGCGGTGCCCGGCACGGCTGCGCCCGGGCCCAGGCCCCGCGGGCGGGAGGCAGTGCGGGCCTCAGTTTCCCCGCGCCCGCAGGTCAAGCGCGAGCTGAGCGAGAACACGCCGCACCTGTCGGACGAGGCGCTGATGGGGCTGTCGGTGCGCGAGCTGAACCGGAACCTGCGCGGGCTCTCGGCCGAGGAGGTGACGCGGCTCAAGCAGCGGCGCCGCACGCTCAAGAACCGCGGCTACGCCGCCAGCTGCCGCGTGAAGCGCGTGTGCCAGAAGGAGGAGCTGCAGAAGCAGAAGTCGGAGCTGGAGCGCGAGGTGGACAAGCTGGCGCGCGAGAACGCCGCCATGCGCCTGGAGCTCGACGCGCTGCGCGGCAAGTGCGAGGCGCTGCAGGGCTTCGCGCGCTCCGTGGCCGCGTCCCGCGGGCCCGCCACGCTCGTGGCGCCCGCCAGCGTCATCACCATCGTCAAATCCGCGCCCGGCCCCGGGCACGGCCCCGCCCCAGGGCCCGCCCCCAGCGCAGACCCCGCCCCCTGCTCCTAGTGCCCGGCCCGCCCCTCCCCAAGCCACGCCCCCACACCCCGCTCCTTTCCCAAGTGCCTACAGGTCCCGCATCGCTGCGGTCACATTCTCTTTCTGGGCTGTCTTCCTCTTGCAAGACCCCCCTACCCCGCCCACCGACTCGGACCTGTTAGCCCTAGGGAAGGGCAATTTGGCTAGGAGGGTGGGATATCCGGGGCCACGGTTCTCTTTGGACTGAATTCAGCCCTCTCAGACGGGGAGGAATGGGATTTGCAGCCGCTCTGGAGCAGCTGTCTGTCTGGAAAAGGGAAAGCACGTCTCATTTTGGAACTGGCTCTCATTGTGCCAATACACCCTCCCAATCCTCCCAGAACTCACTTGTGTGGCTGCCATGCTGAGAAGCTACACTGGAAGACACCTCCCACATCTGTTCTGGGCCTGGGACGGCTGACTTTCCAAAGCCAGGAGAGGCCTTCATATGGTCAGTGGAGCCCAGTGGAGATGGGGAAGCTGTCAGATGGGCCAGTGCCCAAGGCCACATGGATCAGTGATGGAGCTAGAACCCAAAGCTTGGCTTTCTCACTGTTGTCCTAAGATTCCAGCCCTGGATTTCAAGGGGACAATAGACAGGGACTGAAATCATTTGGGAAGATCCTTTCTGGCCGGGAGACTCCGTAAGGCAGGGGAAGAGAAGCCGAAGGAGAGAGAAGGTGACACAGAGAGAGGAGTGGGAAGGAGCTGGTTTGGCTTATCCTAGGGCTCTCCCTGTAGGCAGGGTGCCCTGGACCTGGCCAGCCAAAGGAAAAGGAACAATGGAGGTGACCACCGTGGCATTCTGGGAAATGGGGTGGGTACAGATCCTGCGGTTCCCAAAGCTGAGATTAGGGGTCTTTGGGCTTCAGAATCCCCCCAGAACCCTTGAATATCCACTGTAGTGGGGGCTGGCCACTGCCATTGATTGCCACTCTCCTGGGGAGCCCAGCCCCTCCCCAATACTGTGTACAAGCTGCCCAGTCCCACTGTTTTATTTATTGCACAAATCTAAGTTATTCTCCCCAGCCAGAGCCCAGTTCCTGCTCTGAGGGAAGTGGCATGGGCTCTGAGCTGGACTTTATATTTTATATCTGCAAAGAAATCACATTTATCTTATATTTACAGAAAGCCAGATGGTGACAACAACAAAGAACTTATTTTTAAAAATTGCCCGGCCCCCAGAAGTTATTTATTTTCTGACTTACAGTGAGCCAGTTATCTATCTTGTGCATTTTGTAGACTTTCTGAATAAAGTCAAGCTCTCTTTCCACAGAGAACTGTGTCCTGGACTCTGTTGTATTCTGAGTGAACTACCCAAGATGCACCAGCCAGGATCTTCCGTGGGTGGGAGGCTGAGCGGGTCACTAGCTCTTGCAGCAGGGTGGGTAGAGGGTGGAACAGGGAAACTGTCCTTCCCTGGAGCCTCCCTAGAGGCTTCTCCATGCAGAGAAAAAGTTCTATATTCAGAATAATCTTTCCAGCACTTTCACACAGATTTGATTTTCTCCAGCCAAGTTAGAAATTGTTTCTCCATGTGTCTTTTCTTTAGTTGTGGAACTTGGGTAACTTTTTGCATCCTCAGCTTACACATCTAAAACTGAAGGTGCTCTATTTATTTTTTGGTGCTGGTCCTGGGGCTTGAACTCAGGGTCTGGGTGCTGTACCTGTGCTTCTTTTTCTTTTTTTGTCAGTCGTGGGGCTTGAATTCTGGGCCTGGGCGCTGTCCCTGAGCTCTTCAGCTCAAGGCGAGCGCTCTACCACTTGAGCCACCTTCCCAGCCCACCTGTGCTTCTTTTGTTCAAGGCTAATGCTCTACCACTTGAGCCACAGATCCATTTCCAGTTTTTTGTTTTTTTTTTTAGTAGTTTAGTGGAGATAAGGGTATCATAGTTTCCTGCCAGGGCTGGCTTCCATCTGCAATCCTTAGGTCTCAGCCTCCTGAGCAACTAGGATTACAGGCATGAGCCACCAATGCCCAGCAAGGAGCTATATATAAAATAGCAGAATCAATGTTTAGGTCTAACAGGCCTAGAGGACCATGTGTGTGGCTGGGCAGAGAGATGGCAGGCTGGAGAAGTGTCAGGATTGGAGTGTGGGGAAGGGCCAAACCATGTGGCTTGACTGAATCTGAAGGGCTTTTTCCCTCTCAGGTTGAGACTCTGCCAGGACCCAGTCCTGAAATGCTGAGCTCAGGCTTGGAGGCGTAAGCAGCAGGAGGCTCTTGGACTATTTACCTCCAGGTTACAGGCTGGCTAGGAATTTCCCCCACCCACACTACATTCCTGAGCACTAGGTCAGCAGCTGGCCAGGCCCCAGAAAAGCATGCAAGCTGAGAGCAGGTGCCCACGGTCCAATATGCCCCCAGACTCCCCGGCTTTGAGGGTCCCAGAACAGGGGATGGGCTCAGGGATGCAAGAAGAGAGCCAGAGGAGTCTCTTCTCCCCTGTGGGAAATGCCAGCAGCAGACCCCATGTGCATACCAGCTCCTGGCCAGTCTAATGGGGACCTGGAATGGGAGTTTGGTCCAAAGCAATGTGAACATCTCTCATTGGCTCCACATCATCTACAGGGAGAGGATGGAGACCCCTGCCCAGTACCACCACACACCTTCCCGGTCTTCAATATGAAGGAACAGAAAGGCAGGAAAAGAACCTCACCGGCAGGCAGAAAAAATTTCAATAAATCTATATTATCTTATAGATATACATCTTCCTCACTTCATGTGTTCAATTGTCACGCATCCAAAATGTCACAGAGACCAAAATAGAGTGCTTTCTGGTGGAACTCATGGCAGTCATACGACGAGATACAAAACTAGGGACTCTGTCTTCTCATACATCATACGGTTAATTTTTCAAGTATTTTTTATGTACAAAGAGCTACTCTATCTGGAAAAAAAAAAAGAGAAAGAGAGAAGGTAGGTTATGCATCCTAGGAAGGGGGAGGACAGGGGTGTCCGGCACAGGTTACCATCCGGCCCCCACGTCCCCAGAGACTACTGATTCACTGCCACGGGGCTCCCTCCAGTCTGTCCACACATGCGGGCAAGAGCCAGGGTGGGAGAAGACCGAGGGGGACAGAAATCAGCAACACACTTTGGCCTGGAAGAGGAAAGGAAAACCCATCAGAGAAACAGACTTGAGAAAGCAAACGTGGGAGGAAGCTGGGGCTGCTCCCGGAACAGCCTGCATCTGCCAGTGCCTTCCTGGTAGCTTGGGACCAGCTGGCCAGCACCCGCCCCCCCACCCCCCCCCACCTCCCCCCTGCCTCCATGGGGCCTGGAGCTGGCCTCGGCTACAAGGAGGGCAGGAGGCTGAGAAGGCTTCTGAGGTGCCACTGCCCCCACAGGCCCTTCTCACAGATCCCAGGAGCCTGGTCATTCCAGGAGGGACCAAAAGCAGGTTTCTAGTGAAGGCCACAAGCAGGGAGCAACCTCCTCTCTCTACTCCATCCACTTCTCCAGGCTACTGCAGCCCAAATGCAGGACTCTGCCTGCAGAACAGGGGCCTTGGGGGCTCTTTCTGGGACAGTGGCTGGCATAAGCTCTGTCTGCCTGGGGACTCCGGCCTTCAAGGAGGCGCCAGGTATATGGGGTGGAAGGGACAACGGGAGGGAACAGGAGAACCCAGCCACTCCTGAGGCCTGTCAAGGGCACCTGGCCCAGTGCTGCAGGATCCTGAGTGCCAGCAACTACAAGACACCCAAAGGGCATGTCTGGGGCAGACTGGGAGCTAGGAAGGGAGCTTTCATGTGTGACTAAGGCACAGAAGAGACGGGCTAGGGGCCAGACAAGGCAGAACACCAGGCCCTGTGTGGACAGGGGACCTGGAAGGCATCTGGGACCGCCCTTCCCACCTCTGGCCCCCTGCAGCATGGCCATCCCTCCTGGCCTCCCTGGGGGCTGATATGAAATGTGGAAATTTAAACCTTCCCCATGCAAACAGGAAGGGGCAGCCCCAGGGAGAGGCTAGGACCGTTCTAACAGGAAGGGGGAGGGGGGGTCGGCATCCCCTGAGTGAGGAGCAGCCAGGAAGCCAGGGCTCTGTCCCAGACTCCATCAAGAGCAGAACCCATGAGATAGGGCAGTGCAGGCTGCTGACCATTCTTGCCAGGCCAGGAGTTGGGCAGAGTGGCCACAGTGAGTACAGCCAGGAGCCCAGTGCCTCCTGCTTCACCAAGCAAAGGGCCTGGAGGATGAGACCTATCTAGTGGGACCCCAGGGTCTGGCTGTGATCCTTGCAGCATGCCAGGCAGTCCCAGATCAGGAGGAGGGGTCCAGAGTGTCCACACCCCCTCTTCCTGCCTGGAGAGGCAAATTTAGCATTGGACAAAGGTGGGTAAGGGAGGGGAGCAGGTAGGGAAGAGCCCAGTTGGGGTATTGCACGGTATGGGGGGCTGGGCCGGGCCCTGGGGCCTCAGCTCTCCTGGGGAGTGGCTTAGAAGACTGAGGCCACTGGTCCACACACAGACATTTGGATGTGAGCATGGCTGGTCCTGGCGTGCCTTAGCCCATGACAGGCTGCAGGTGAGTGGCATCGAGACCAGTGTCTTCTGCCCTTGGCCCTGTCTGTGTACATACTCCTGAAGGCCAGGAGAGCCAGGCTGTCCCACAGGCAGGCAGCATCATCCGCCTGCTCTTCTGGAAGTGATATGTGAGGGTTTCTGGTCCAATAAATAAAGGGCAATGGCCAAGCCGCACCAGTTGCCTCCTGGTCTGTGAGGCCAGGGGAGGGCACAGCTGCCCCTGGCACAGCGCCAGTCCTTCCCCACCTGCGCCCTGCCTAGAACTCATCGTCAGAGCTGAGCAGGAGAGTCTTCTCATTGTCTCGGGCACCGCTGAGGCTGTGGGAACGCGAGAGGCCGTGGGCACCACCCCGCCAGGTGGGCCCAGGCTCTAGTGTGGACTGCTGTGTGTACTGCTGGTATGCGGGTGAGAAGTTGTGGATGGCATCCTGCACGATGTCGTGCGGGTTCATGGTCTCCTTGAGGCTGCTGGAGATGCTCTTCATTGGGGCGCATCGGCCTGTAGAGAGGAGGCAGGGGGGGGGGTGAATGTCAAGAGGGCAGGAAGGCTGCTCATCCCTTGCCCCTCATTCGGGGACAAACCCTTACACCAAGGCTGTCATTCAGCTGTACCCTCCTGGGACAGAGATCAGATCCGGCACATGGAAAGGGGCAGGACAGAACTGTCTCCCTGGAGAACAGCCAGGGAGCCTGGGGTGCTATGGGGGAGAGGCTGCATGTGAGGAAGCAGAGATCAATGACCACTAGGAGCTGGGGTGTACGGATGGGAAGGGAGCTGGGTGGTGACTAACAAGCTACAGACAATGTACCTGGAATGTCTCCCCACAGCTCCTACCTAAGGAGTACCCCCCGCTGTGGGGGGCATGGCCCCTCAGGATTGAGCCAGCCCACTGGCTTTCCCTCCAAGAGGGTGAGTGCTCCCTGTCCCACTGGGCCTCCTCCCAATTCCCTCCATCCACTCATTGCACAAGCTCAGAAAGGCAAATGGCCACTAAGTCACGCTGAAAGAGATCAGCTCAACTCTGGACCAGGACGTCTGACTCAGACCTGAGTCTCTGTCCTCTGTGTTCTCTGCTATGGAAGCACTGATATACCTCCTACTATCCCTTTAAGGGGCACTGTGCCCAAGAACAGAGCAGGGAAGGTTCCAGAATGAGAGACCAGGCAAAGCAGGCAAGCTCTGTAAAGTGCTCTGGGCAAGCAGGTGCTCTGGGCTCTCCCACCCCGGGATGCCTGTGGGGAGACAGGGACACAGGGATACACCAAGGCATGCTAGTGAGTGACCAGAATGACGTGCAGACAGATAAGAGAGCAGGACCTACCGTAAGGGCCGTATGTTGGCACTGCCCTCGGCCAAACCCAGGGCATATGTGGGGCAAAGGGGTGAGGAGAGAAGCCAGAGAGATAGAGAAGAGAAGAGACAACTGAGTGAACCTCCGGTGCCCTCCCCAGGTTAAGATGACACCACATACCTTTCCAGCCCCCTCCCCCTCCCCACCCCCCTCTGGCTGCCCCTCAAGGCCTGTGGGACATCTCCCAGTGCTCAGGCTAACAGTCTTCCTGTCAGGGTGGGAGTTTCACTTCTACATCTAAGCCAGACCCCCACCCTGACTGCAGCTGCCCAGACCTCACTACACCTGCAGTCAAGGAAACAGGCTGGGGGAGGAAGGGGGGGGGGATCAGCAGAGCTAGCTTTGACTAATTTGAGGCTGGGAGGGGAGGGCACCTCTGTGGAAGGGTGGGTCACACCCTC